GTGGGGTCGGGAGGTATTTGTGAATTTCCTGCATTGTGCGGGGGTTGGACTAGATGACCCAGGGATCCCTTCCAACGCCGTGATTCTATGATTAAGGAGGCTACTGCAGTCACCCTCCAGAATTATGCACCTCAAGCACCCCTCAAAATAACAGGTGGGCACTTTCTGCCACTCACCAATCACCCACCGTGAAGGCAGTGGGAGACAAAACACATGACCCCAAAGTTCTACATCAGTAAAGTAAAAGGTAAAGGTTCCCTTGCTCGAAAGCCAGTCGAATCCGACTCTAGGGTTGTGGGGCTCATCTCCGTTTCAAAGCCAAAGAGCCAGTGCTATCCAAAGACGTTTCCGTGGTCATGTGGCCGGCATGACTAAACACCAAGGCGCACGGAACGCTGTTACCTTCCCACCGAAGTGGTCCCTATTTATCTACTTGCAATTTCTTGCTTTCGAACTGCTAGGTTGGCAGGAGCTGGAGCTAGAGACGGGAGCTCACTCCATCATGCGGCACCCGGGTCTCGAACTGCTGAACTACTGACCTTCCACAGCCTGCAGTTCAGCGTTTTAACTACTTGAGCCACCGCAGCTCTCTACATCAGTACAGTGAGGATAATGACCTACTTCACAGGACTGTTAAAAGTACATAAATGATACTGAGAACCATGCGTGTTTGACAGATGTCTTGGTGTGTACAAAGTAAGAATCGTTGCCCTTTCTCCATTTTCTCTTTGAAGCACATTTGATTCTGTGGCCCACGTAAAATGTCAATGGTAAAAGTCTCACTTTTAATCAGAAGAAACTTTTGCAAAAGGTGTGAAATGGTAGTAAGTCCAAAGGGAAACCAGGCAGTGGCTTGCAAATTATGAGGCGATGAAGGATACCGAAGATAGGTATTGTTACTTTAAATTTAATTTTACTGGCTGTGTATTAAAATATATATTTTAAGAAAGGAATAACTATAACGGTGTACACTTTCTTTGTTTTTAATTTGTGATCTCAGACTGTTTGCTCTGTATATGGGTTCTGATTACATGTTGTTGCATTTTTTAAAATATAAATGGTAAAGAAGTATTTGAAACGTGTGAGAACACAGCTAAACATAAGCTTTCTGCCTGCCTTCAGCAGACCTTCGTCCCAGTTTTCTCTTACCAATGATGTAGCTTCTAGATTTGTCTCTAGGGCTAGCTAAGATTTTCCATACGCCAAATGTAGTCATTCTCTTTCCCCCCCCAGAGTCTGAAAGACGGGGGGGGGGAATAACCCACCATCTGTTCAAAATTTGGCATCTGTTTCACACACCTTGGAGGATTAAGGTCTTTTGCTAAATCCAGACTTTAAAAAAAAAAAAAAAAGTGAAAAAAGCCTTGAAATCAGCTCTGTGCTGCTCCCTGGCCAGTCATGGAACAGAGACAATTCTCAAAGTTTTGAGCAGAAGATGGACAAACTCTTTGGGGTTGTGTGAAAATAAAGCATTCTGGTCTGTTAAAACAACTCCCCCCCCAAAAAACGGGCTCTTCCTCCTCCGTCAAGCGCACTCGCTGATGTCCCCAAATCTCTAGAAAGTGACGGCAAAGCCCTTGTCACCCCAGACTGCCACTCTACTGATAATCAAGGAGCCCTGCTTTTTTTTAGACTGGCCTGCAACGTCAGAGGGGATGGACTGTTTCAATCTTCTGTGGTTTTGCATTATTGCTTTTCAATCTTCCCCCTTATACATTTTTTATATCATCAGATACAGGAGGTTTGTAGACACAGAGGCCCTCCCCAAACCCTTCTGAGTACTAGGCAGCCTTGCAAACAGCAATCTAAACAAACTACGTTTAACTATTCAAAATACAAAGTTCCTTACAGTAAATCAGACTACTGGACCACCAGCTTAGTGCAGTCTATTCTGATGAATGGTTACTAGGCCCCAGAAGAAGAAGAGATTGGATTTATACCCCGCCCTTCACTCAGAGTCAGCTTACAAATTTCCCCTCCCCACAACAGACACCCTGTGAGGTAGGCGGGACTGAGACAGCTCTTTCAACAGCAGCTCTGACAGAACTATGGCTTGCCCAAGGTCATCCAGCAGCTGCGAGTGGAGGAGTGTGGAATCGAACCATGTTCTCCTAGATTAGAGTCCGCGCGGAGACCCCATCCTCACTGCTGGTAAGATCCTTTTAAACTGGAAACGCCAGGGATTGATTGAGCCTGGGACCTTCTGCATGCAAAGTAGATGCCCTGCCTCTGAAACTCAGTCCCTCCCTATTAACTAAATGGAGCTCATCTCTATGACTAGTGCAGGGCAGTGGCTGAAGTGTTGGACCAGGATCTCGAAGACCCAGGTTCGAACCCCCCCCCCCCCGGCC